ATGTCGTATATAGTTTTTTTTAAGCATAAAATAATTTTTATATTAATACTAGTTTAAAAGTGAAATTACGACCTCTATACTGTGGAGAGTATTGAAACGCTCGACTGACGAATACAACTCTATACCGTAGGGAGATTTAGAAATCGATATTCAAACGTGGCGTCATCCTATACACCTCTATAATTTTCCGTTTGCTGTGTAGGTACTTTTTTTTCCTAAATTTATCTTGGGCCAACCATTGTCTCAACTCTGGTAAAATTTCGTTTTCTGTCGCATTATTTGGTTTCGGATTCTTCTGGATGGAGGCTAAAAATAAATTAATTAATACAATTGTTGTCTGGTTTTAAAATTTTTGTTAATAAGAATTTTACTGATAGAATAATCGTCTTCAATAGGGTGGCAATAACGGGGTACCGTACCGCCGTGATTTAGTACACTACCAATGGTAGTGTACTAAATCACCATCAGGCCCGGCTCCAGACATTGCGGTACCCCGTGCAAAATTTTTTTGCCGCCCCTCATAGTTACCTACTTTTTAGTGCCTATTAATAAGGTATAATTTCTAAAAAAAAACTATAGTACCGTAAAACGGGGCGATTTCGGACAGCCGGGGCCACTTCGGACATCATTACCTTAAAGCTATTAAAAATTCGCGATTGGGACATCTGACGTGACAGAGTTCTGTAATTCGGGAAAAAACTTCGTAGAAGATGGCTAAAGCTATGGCAAGAGGCACGTGGGTTCGCTTGTTAAGGGAAATAAGCTTTTTGCATCGTTTAGTCTGGAGTTCAAACTTTAGTTATTTAATAACTTGGTAAAAGTAACTGGTGCCAGCAAGTAAATATGCACTGTATGATCAAAATAATATAGATTTTCGGTAGTACGTAATTTTGTTGATAAATTCTTTTTTTTTTGTTTACGTTCGTATTACATTAACTTTTATACAGGGTTGTAATACAAATATTTGCATTTTATGGGGCGACTTCGGACATGGTTAGGGTCTATAAAAAAATGTTGTAGAGCAATTTTTACGGAAACTATACAAAGTACAATATTTTTTAATATACTATAGTATAGTATAGTATAGTATACTATAGTATTTAGTATAAGAAGAAATAAATTTGTTTTATTGTTTTGATCCTCAGAATTCAATTTTATTTTATATTTTGATAAATAAAATGCCCTTTTCCATTTGAATGAGTTTTTACCTAATTTCATGCTTTTTTTTCCTAATTTTATGCTTTATGTTTTTTTTTAAAGCAATATTTCTGTCCGAAGTCGCCACTGAATGTGATAGCTTCGATTATATACATTTTACAACGCTTGTCCGAAATCGCCCCACCTTAAGGGGTGACTTCGGACAGACTTTGGCAAAAAAAAATTAGTATTAGTATTTGAATGACTATTATAATTTTTACGTAAACTTATACCGGAAGGATGCCAAAATCCCCTGTAAAAAATTTAGTTCAAAATAACAAACAGAACCGATTCAAAATTTGAAAAAACTTTAAAAATCGTCCGAAGTCACCCCGTTCTACGGTACCTATAACTATAGGTATACCTAAATAATATCGTCCCCTTGATGCTACAATTATATACACTGTTCAAAATTGCATGACCATTTTAACACCAAATTAACACCATACATGGTCTATATCGATACAAACCAAAATGGTGTTAAATATGGTTCGTTGGTCCAGTGTAATTTCAAATACTAAAATAGTGTAAATTGAACTCCTTTTCAGTGTTAAATATTATGTGTTCTTGGTCAAATTAAATCATACTAGGGGTAAACTGTACTTCTCAGTAGTTTGAAAGGACAAAATATTTTTAGATAAACACCGTTTTGGTGTTTGCTGTATATAACATTTTCAAACATAATTCATGGTGTTTATATTAACACCACTTGGTGTTGGATTTAGACACCATATTTAGATTACCCTTTACACCACAGATTTTTAAACAGTGTAATATCGTCCCCTTGATACTACAATTAGATATCTGGAAAAACACATTTATAAATAAAAGTATTCTAAAATTGGTACCTATGTAAGTATTTAGTAGAACTGGATTCGTAAATTTTCTAGTTATCCAGTTGTAGCATTATTTATGAGAATTATTTATTTGTTAATTATTATTTTTTATTAAAAGGGTGCATGCTGTGATATTATATTAATTTTGTATAAAATGTGCATAAATACCTACCTTAAAACACACACAAAAAGGCCAGCACAATATAAATACCACAACCACAGGGAACAAAATGTCCTCGAAAATGTCTATTTCTTTAAATTATTAATTTTCAAATATGAGAATTTTTTCAAATATGAGAATTATTTATTTGTTAATTATTATTTTTTTATTAAAAGGGTGCATGCTGTGATATTATATTAATTTTGTATAAAATGTGCATAAATACCTACCTTAAAACACACACAAAAAGCCCAGCACAATATAAATACCACAACCACAGGGAACAAAATGTCCTCAAAAATGTCTATTTCTTTCAAATTATTATTTTTCAAATGGGTAGTGTACAATTGCACAAAGAGGTTAAATATCAACTAAAATAATTTATAAGTTTGCCTTAAAACAAAGCGAAATCCTGATAAATCAAAAGAAATCGCACATTGCGGCGCGTGCCATTGATCCTTTGTGGGCTATATTATAAAGAAAGCCGCTTTATTATTTAAAAATGGGAAATAATAGGACGATAACTTTTTGCCGCCTTTCGATTTTTGACGCCCTTCGAATTTTGCCGCCATTCGATTTGTGCACCTCTTTAATTTTTGCCGCCCTTCGATTTTTGCCGCCCCGTGCAGGGGCACGGCTGCACGTACCCTGGAGCCGGCCCTGACTACCATTCATAGATAACAAAGCTATTAATAAATAATAAATAAATAATAATCTAAACAATAAAAATAAACATAATACCTACATACCTCAATCTGGATAATTTATTATTAGCGTCGCACACAGGTTTTTCTAGGGCGTCACACTTAAAACACAATCAACAAAGCAAAAATGGCCGAACCATAGATTATAAAAGCCTCAGACAACAGACCGTTTTATCGAGAGGCGCTGACATCACAAAACTTTGAATTAACTTTTCAAAAAGTTTATAAATATTGTTAAATAACTCAACAATATTTAGGATATAATATTTACATAACATTGCGAAATAAATGTTAAAAAATATTTACATGATATTTATGAATGTTTTAGATAGGTATATTTACGCGTAACAGTTATAAAAATATTTTCCCCTGAATGTTTCTACAACATTTCATCAACCTTATATTTATAAATATTGTTCTCTAAACGGCCTGACAACATTTTTAAAACATATTGTGTTATGTGGGGTTATTAAAACTTTTTCAGAGAAAAATTTCCACAAGGGCCATTTGGACTTTTTTATGTCGTTTAATCAAAACATCGTTGCGTCGCGATAAGTTATAACAGAACTTCTCAGGATCCTGACTTTACTTACGAACTAAACAAAAAATATAGATAATTTTAGCAATTTAAAATGGAAATTGATTCCAATTACGCTTGGTTCGAACTTAGGGGTGTCAATCCCGGGATCCAGTAAAAAATCCCGGGATCAAAAGTCCCAATCCCGGGATCTTGGTAATAATTTACAAAGAATAAAATATACTTTTTTTAAGCGTAATACTATGACAATTTTCATATTATATTGCTCATAAGCACATATAAAAAAAATCTATTGGAAATACTTCATTCTTGTACGCAGTTCAAAAGTCAAAATATTATACAACGCCGTACAATAATGAAAATACATTAAAAAGACATAGGAAGAGTGAAAAGGAAAAGGTAAAATTACAGAGGTGTCCCTCTATAAAATATCCTTTATATGTTTTTTTGGGACGAATAAAGAATTATTTATTTACAGTGCCCTGTAGAATAAATTCATAACCTATAATATTTCGAACGTTAAACCCAAAGGTTAAACCTGAAAAAATTTCACAAACTTGTTAATTAAGCTAAAGGTCATTTCTCTGAACACAGAATTGTGATCAGAATTAAGAAGAAGAGAACTTGTTAATTACAATTGTTACAGGCCCGATTGATAAAAGAAATGGAATTATTTAGTGTTGGGAATAATCGATTTATTTCAATAACCGATTATTCAAGTGATTTCAAAAACCGGATTATCACTTGAATGACGATCACTTGAATGCTCATCGTGGGGTGGGCCTAAATAATGAGGCGTTCGGCGTTGCTTCTTTACATTCCGGACCGGAAAGTAAAGAAGCAATTTTCGGTTTACCCGATTCCTTAAAAAAGGCTTGTAAACAAGCAGTATTATTATTTTTCTAGAAATCTACTTTTTTGATAGTTTTTCAACATAATTTTAGTAGGCAAAAAATTATTATTAAATTTTTAATACAAGTAATTAAATTTTTAGTTTTTCCACGTAGTAATTTAAATTTAATGCTAATTTTTGTTAAAAAATTTCTATTTATAAATTCAAATTTTAAACAAACTTCAACTGTCAAATGAGCAGATTCCTAAAAATATAACCTGTATATTACAGATACAGATTACAGGTTATTTTAAAAATATACACTGCGCAAATAACCGTTTATTCATCACTCGGATCCGAAACTTATAACCGAATAATTCAGGTTATTTCAATAACCGGGTAATAGGTTATTTTTCACTCGAGTGATCCCACCACTAGAATTATTTGTTAATGGGGGTAAACGTGGGTCCAATTGTACCACATATTAATGTGCCTACGAATTCTTGAAAATCATTCTTTCAACTAGCGTGAAGTCCGAAACATATCGTTCGTTAGTTTGTTCCTTTATTTTAAATTGGTTTTAAAATTAAAGATTTATATTTTTTCGGGACTGATCCCGGGATTACTTACTTTTGGTCCCGGGATTGACACCCCTAGGGGTTCAAACCGTTGGGTTTAATTGAATTTTTTTCTGTAAATTCACATTATTTTAAAAAAAATATTAGAGTTTTTATCTTTTAAAACTTTTTTTATTAACGTTAATTGTACAATAATAGTAATGGTAAAAAAATATTTTGGTAAATAATGTTTTTTAATATAAATCTTAGGCTTTACAAAGAAATATAGATGGTGACTTAAAAATATTTTGTCCATTAGTCATTGAAATTTCATCTACAAATTTTTTATATTCCTGTGATTGATGCCAAACAGAAGCTGAATAAAGTTGCCTTTTAGAAATCATTGATTTTGAAGCTTGTTCATTACCAATTATTATTTTTCTTTTTACTTGCAGACTTTTGCTTAGATTAGATGTTTCTTTTTTGTAAGGATAAACAAGGACTTTTGTATCATAAACATTCCTGGGAGGAACTGATATTCTTGTAGATTTACGTGTGGGAGTGGAATGTTTAGGTTGTTTGGGGTTTTTGGTGGAAGTGTTGTCCTCTGTTTTGTTATAATATTCTTTAAGTTTTTCAGTAGATGCTGTGATTGATACTTCATTGGTAGAATTTTCAGGTGCATCATTATTGAGAGATTCTATTTTTGTAGAATGTAGATTGTCAAATGTGAATTCAGGTTTTGTTCCTTTATGTTTTTTAGTGGAACTTGTTATCGCCAATTCATTGTTAGATTCTTTTCTAATGTTATTAAGTTTTTGTTGTTTAGTTGTTTCATTTTTGTAAGAATAAATAAGTACTTTTCTATCATAAACATTCCTGGGAGGTGGTGATATTCTTGTAGATTTACGTGTGGGAGTGGAATGTTTAGGTAGTTTGGGGTTTTTGGTGGAAGTGTTGTGCTCTGTTTTGTTATAATATTCTTTAAGTTTTTCAGTAGATGCTGTGATTAAAACTTCATTGGTAGAATTTTTAGGTGCAATATTCTTGAGAGATTCTATTTTTGTAGAATGTAGATTGTCAAATGTGAATTCAGGTTTTGTTCCTTTATATTTTTCAGTGGAACTTGTTATTGTCAATTCATTGTTAGATTCTTTTCTAATGTTATTATGTTTTTGTTGTACAGTCGTTTCCTTTTTGTATAAATAAACAAGTACTTTTGTATCATAAACATTCCTGGGAGGTAGTGATATTCTTGTAGATTTACGTGTGGGAGTGGAATGTTTAGGTTGTTTGGGGCTTTTGGTGGAAGTGTTGTCTGCTGTTTTGTTATAATATTCTTTAAGTTTTTTAGTGGATGCTGTGATTGATACTTCATTGGTAGAATTTTCAGGTGCAACATTCTTGAGAGATTCTATTTTTGTGGAATGTAGATTGTCAAATGTGAATTCAGGTTTTGTTCTTTTATATTTTTTAGTGGAACTTGTTATTTTGAAATCATTGTTAGATTCTTTTTTAATGTTCTTATGTTTTTTTTGTTCAGTTGTTTTTTTTTGGTAAGAATAAACTTTTGTATCAAAAATATTTCTGGGAGGTGGTGATTTTCTTGTGGATTTACGTGTGGGACTGAAATGTTCAGGTTTTTCTTGTCTGGTTTTTTTGTTGGAAGTTGTGTCTTTTCTAATGTTATTTTCTTCCCATATGTTTTCTTTATTGGAGTCACTTGTGTTCTTATAAGGTGTACTTGAATTTAAAACATCAACCTGCAAAGAAGTTCTATTAATTTGGGAATGATTATTTAAGGGAGTGAAATGTTTAGGTTTTTCTTGTCTGGGTTTTTTGGCGGAAGTTGTGTCTTTTCTAATGTTATTTTCTTCCCATGTGTTTTCTTTATTGGAATCACTTGTTGGTTTATTTATAGATGTGTTCTTTTTAGGTGTACTTGAATTTAAAACATCAACCTGCAAATAAGTTCTATTAATTTGGGAATGATTACACTGTGCAACACAAAAAATTAACTGGGATCAAATCTGAAAAAATCGAATCTAGGCAACCCCCAAAACAAATCCTTTAAGGGGTTTTACCAGTTTGGCTCGAATAATGGAGATATATAAAAGCCCCTAAAACTTAAAAAATATGAATTTTATAGAAAAATGCTCGGACACGTCGATTTTTATTTTATATGACGCAATTTTCAGTTGATTTTGAAATTTTTATTTTTTCAGATTCACCCCCAGCCACCCCACTTTTCTTTTTAAAGAAAACCGACCCTTTGTTATACCTTAAATAACAGGTAGTGTATGTAGAGTTGTATTCATTAAAAAAGCGTACAAGAATTAGAATGAGAGAAAACTGTCAACATTATTGCGTAAAACCGGCTTTCCACTGACTTAAGTCACTATAACTGACAGTAGAAAATAAAAATGCCTCGTCAGTTAAAAAGGCTCAAATAGTATCAAGAATCGAAGAAGAATGGTCAATTCGTAATGTGGTATAATAGAAATAAAAAATCTATATTAAAAATTAAGCAACGCTGGGAACAGGAACTAAACCAAAAAGTTGGTTCAGGTCGTCCCAAAATGTCCACCCCTGAACAGGATGCTGCTTTTTTGGGATATCTGAGGATTTATGGGAAACTATGCAACTATACTATACCTACTATACTGCTGGAAAGATATTAATCCAAATATTGTATTAAATTTAATTCAGTTCATCCCAAATAGATTGGCTCAAGTAATAGAAAAACAGGGATGCATGACCATAGATAACAAAGCATGACTAAATATTAAATTTTTTTTAATGTTTGTTTTTTTCATTATTAAAAGGTAATAATTTTTGTAATATTATTTAATTAACCTACGACGTCAATGCTCTTTATAACCTATAGTAATTATTTTAATGACTTATGTCAGTGATAAGCCGGTTTTAAGCAATAATATTATTTTGACAGTTTTCTCTCATTCTAATTCTTGTACGCTTTTTTATTGAATACAACTGTAAATGAATTAGTCAAAAGTAACTAATTTAATAGTTAATAGTGGCTGCTTTTTCACTTGTGCCATGGTTAACCATGGAATACACTGGTATCCCAAAATTCGGTTTTCTTTAAAAAGAAAAGTGGGGTGGCTGGGGGTGAATCTGTGAAAAAATAAAAATTTCAAAATCAACTGAAAATTGCGTCATATAAAATAAAAATCGACGTGTCCGAGCATTTTTCCATAAAATTCATATATTTTTTAAGTTCTAGGGGCTTTTATATATCTCCATAATTCGAGCTAAACTAGCAAAACCCCTTTAAAGATTAGTTTTGGGGGTTGCATAGATTCGATTTTTCCACATTTCATCCCAGTTCAAATTGTAAGGTCAAAATTTGTCGCACAGTGTTATTTAAGAATGTAAACCACACATCTGTATTCTGCCATGCTAAGCACAAATGTGTATGGTACAATATTAAGTAATAACAGACAAAAGTAATTTTTCATTGTTTTAAAACTATACAAATATTTTTATTAAACTCCCATTTCAACTATAACCGGCTTCTCCCAAGGGGCTGAAGTTACCCTAAAGTTAGATTTTGAAAAAAGTGAGGTTAAAACTAATTGACAGCTATCAGATGTCAGATAAAATATAAAAATTTGATAAACCGATTTATTTAATAAAATTGGATTTAAATTCCTTGTGGTTGTTGAATAAAATAGTGTGCTACTATTGGTCAAAAGAGGAGATTCCACTCGCGTGTTACCTCACTCACGGCAAACTCAACGCTCGAGGAATCTCCTCTTTTTCCAAGTACCTAGTCAACAACCATTTCATTTCTTAGCTTAACCGGTGGGCGAAATTTTACTTCGCCCTTAGGCTGAAGTAAGCTATAAGTTAAAATTGGAAAAAGTTGGGTTAAATTTGCTTGACAGCCTTCAGATTTCAGATAAAATATCAAATAAAATTGGTTTTAAATTCTTTTTGGTATTTAAATACTTTATGTGCGACTATTGGCCAAAAGAGGAGGTTCCATTCGCGTGTTACCGCACTTGCTACGCTCCCACTTGCACAATATACTATTTGTCCCTTATTACTTACTTATTGTAGTTGGGTACTACAAGCCTTCTTGCTTAGCATGTCATATGGCAGTATCATTATTTGTATAACATTTAGGGCAGGTTTTTTAATTCGGGTTTAAACACAGACCCCCAAAACAAATGGACGGATTTGTTTACGTTTAAAAAGCGAGTAAAGCATAGTTTCACATTCTAAACACCGTCGAAAGAAACACGGCTTCCAACGTTGTCAGAAGTATAGATTACACGCCTTTTTGGACATTCATCATAACATAATGAACATTAATAATAACCAGTAATTCGTTTGAATAATAAAAAAAATGTAAAAAGGATTTGTTCAACATTTTCTTAAGATATTTTTCTCTATTTAAAGAAAATAAATCATTTAATAATTATTAAAATTAAATATTAACAACTTTGGTAAATTCGTCATATTTGACAGCATAGAAAAAGGTTGACAGCTTGTTGTTTTGTGTTTTCGTTTGAGTATTTCTATCGTGTTAATTATGGAGTTTAAATACATTATTTTTTACTAAAAATAACAATACATGGAAATATCGTTTGTAAGTACCTACCTACTTATTATTTTTTTAATCCCAATACGTCACTGCAAGAAAACATAAAATTCTATCGCCAATTTAACGCTTAGACTGTGACCGTTTGTTGACGTCACTGGAAGAAAACATAAAATTCTATCTCCAATTTGACGCTTAGACTGTGACCGTTTGTTGACCGCAAACAAAGCATTGTTATTGAATGGCAATGCGCCGTCCATTTGTTTTGGTGGTCTGTGGGTTTAAACCTTGGTTCAGGGGAACTGAGGTCAGATACTGAACTCAGTTCACCGTCAAATGAGTTTTTCAATTTCAACTCAACAGCTGTAATTCTGTTGATTAGCGGTGTAAACCAGTGGCGGCTCGTCGTATAAAGCAACTGAGGCCGGGCCTCACATGTTAAAATTATATTATAATTTGAAATGTTAGATACTTATACTTATTTAAATATAAAACGTTTTTAAACTAATTTCCAGTCATTAAAAGTATCAAACCATCGAATAACCATCAAAGTTTAAAATCTAAAACTTTAATTCTAATTGCCCGACCGCATAATAGGGAAATAGTAAGCCCCGAAATTTGAGCTTCATATACGTCACACATTGCCGATACAACGTCATGCTCCCCACCGCTGCACGGTGCCGCCGGCACCCCCGCAAGGCGGGGATAATACTCGAATTTTTGTAGACATTGAGGCCCACAAAGTTGGGCTTGTACCACACAGTGCTCGGATATTCGAAACAGTGTCGACGTGCTTACTCTGTCTTGCATAATCTGCTCACGCCGTCAGTGGGTGGGGCATATGCTAGACGGGGTTTAGGTAGTTGAATCAAGGATTGTTGGATTTTTCGTTTTTGCGTTCGAAAATTTGTTTCCAGTATTGTAGCGCGCATTTGGAAAAAAATTCATATTTCTACAACCGTTGAAGTTTGCGACTTAATTTTTTTTTAAACATTTAACTCAATATATATGTATAGAAATTTGCAATAATTCACATAGCTCGCCGCAGGGTAAAGTTTTTGATGCACGATTTTTATAATTCTATATTGCAAATTTATTTTTTTTCAAAATCTATAAATTTTTAAAATTTCTGAATTGCTATTAGAAGTGCTCACATTTCAAGTATAAGTCAGCAAAAAATCAGAATTTTAGATTTTATTCTACACCTTTTCCAATTGTATTTCAGAAAAGTTCAATTGTAGTTCAGATTAAGAAAATGTATTTCAGAAAGTATTAATTTAATTTTAAATTATCCAAGTGTATATAAGAAAGCATCAATTAAATTTCAGATTAGTAAATTGTATTTTAGAAGATATCAGTTCCATTTAAGATTAATCAATTTTATTTTAGAATGTATCAATTGTATTTCAGATTTGTAAATTGTATTTAAGAAAGCGTTAATAAGAACTCAGAAGTTGTCATTTTAAAATTATAAAACATAAACTCTATTTTAGATGTTATCAATTGTGTTTAAGAAGTTGTCAATTGTATTTAGTACTACAATCCATCATGCTCCAGCATTAGCTTTGGAAGATATGCCCGTTGGACGCTAATACATATAATATTATATGCGTTTTTTTTTTAATGTGACATTAATGGTTTTTGTTATTTTTTATTTTATTTTTATTATAACTATTCAATACTCTTTCCATTTTAACTTTTTAATACATAGGTATATAAGATATTGTTTTTGTTTGATTTTTTATAAATTTAATTCCCAATAACATAATTTTTTAGTCGTTGTCAAAATGTAACCACAGTTGTACCATATGGGGGATAGAGGAACAAATTCGGACGAATATTAAAAAAAAATTAATCATAAAAATTAAGAGCTTTCTACTAAAATTTAAACTGCTCAGATGCACCATTTTCGGGAAAAATATATTTATAAATTACACTGTTTAGCATAAAAATGTCATATTCATTTAAATTTAGAAGAAGGCTTTGAAACAAAAGTGACATTTTGGTTATTTGCAAAGATTATATCTTTGGTTATTTGCTGACTAAATTTATTTTGCGATACAACGTCAAGTCATGTTTATTAAACAAATTAGTGTTTTCTTGTATGCAGAATGCATTGGTAAACTCTGGACCCTTAATTTCGGGAAACCGATAAAGCTGGTACAAAAAAGTTCACAAATTAAGTTGGCTATTTAAATAAAAAAAATTAAAACTAGGTTTTCGATTAACTGTAAAAAAGATATAAGCGAAAATTCAACTTTATAGAGATAAGTTAGGTTAAATCGTTAAATCAAAGGAATATGTGGTCTTTGCACTATGCTTTACTTAGGTAGGTAAGTATAGTCAATGAAACAAATTTAAAATAAAATAATATTTTTACGTTTACCTATCATGTAATTTTACTGAAAAATTTGTTTCATTGACTATACTTTGACACAAACATAACCTAAAATGCCTTAAATGTCAAGTTTTAAAAAGGCTTCGTTCCGCATCAAATGTCAAAGTGGGACTGATGAGTGGTACATGCTTTATATTTTGGCTTATTTCTGAGATTCAATTCACCCTGAATTTAAAAAAGTTATTCTGAACTATAATTGACACTTTCCTAAATACAATTCATATTTTCTTAAATAAAATTGATGGTTTCTAAAATACAATTTACGTTTTCGGAATTTCAAATAGTTATTTAAAACTACAATTGACATTTTCTTAAATATAATTTACTAATCCGAAATTCAATTTACACTTTCTAAAATAAAATTAACTAATCTCAAAAACAATTGATACTTTTCCAAAGATAATTGACTAATTTGAAATACAATTGATACTTTCTGAAATAAAATTTACTATTCTTAAATTAAGTTAATAAGTTCTGAAATAAAATTTACCTCTTCTGAAATACAATTGGAAAAGGTGTAGAATTAATACAACGATTAATGTTACGAATCAGCGGAATAAAATCGCCTTCTAATTCATGTAAAAATAATTCAAATAATTATAAAAGATCATTTTTATTTTAATATACTATTATATTAACACACAAATACCACAGTAAAAATCACAAAAAATGTAAATAAAAATTATCATGTTTTTTTTATACATAGTTCAGTGTTAAATAGTTTCATATACCTACTGTGCTTGTACATTATTATTTTGTCGTTGTGCCTTTACAGTGCCGGCGTGAGGCATGTGCAAACGGTGCGGTTGCACCCGGCCCCGCGTTTTATAGGCCCCGCGCGCATCAAGGCGTTTTAACGAAATTATTGTACATTTTAGCAACATGGCAAGCTGTAAGCAAAGCGTGACAAAATAATATCTGGTCATTGCCAGAGATAATATCTTTAGTAGGTATCGTCATCTATTATCATTCAGTCCAATGTTGCTAAATGTGTATTTGAAGTTGCATGTATCCGTTTAAAAAATTATTATTACGCCGGGAAAAGAGTTTTTCAAAATTAAAATTAATAAAAAAATATTTAAATCAAGAAGATATGTGCCAAGAACGACTAGTGGGTTTGGCTATATTGTCAATAGAGAAGGATGTTGGAAAAGAGCTAAAGCAGGGAAAAATTATGTGTGATTTTTTCTTAAACATTAATTTCTATATTTATTGATGGGAAAAGCTGAACCACCCAAGTAAGTCAAAATTTTCTTCTATCCGGTAACACGCTTTAACGACTTTAAAAATGCACTTGGGCGGTTTCAGCTCTAACCCCTTCAATTGGTTTTTCGTTTGATGTTTTAGTGGTTTATTGCCGCTAAGCGCTACATATATTAATTTTCAAGAGTAAATTTTTAGTTCAAGCCACGCATTTTTTTTTGCACCTGGCCTCTAATAAGTTAACGCCGGCCCTGTGCCTTTATCTAAAAATAATAATAGGTAAAAATGAGCAGTACCTCCTAGGTAATGTGGAAACCTGCTAAAGGAATAAATAAAAATCCCACCTCGTCCCGCACTTTTTGTATTATTCTAGCTAAATTTTGAAAATTCTTCTCGTGAAAGAACATATTTTTAAATAATATATTTTTATTATTTAGATTCTGAAGTGCTCCAAAAACGCGAGACCTTGAAAATTGGGGCCTCACCTTCAGGAATGGTCACAAGCCGCCACTGGTGTGAACGTTAAGTTGGTACAACCAAATTTAGTATACGCCTACATTAATAGTAGTAAAAACTGTCATTTTGACAAAATGATTTTGTGTTTACTTTATGAGTTTTGTTTATCTGCGCTGTTTAAAAAAGTTGTAATCTGTGCAAAAGGGTGCTTTAAAACAATTTTCTATTGTTAAAGAACAAAAATTATTGTTTATTTTGGATAAAAAGCGTGCTTCCAACTTTACATGTGATTTTAAAACAAATTATTTTCATTAGTGGCTAAATTAGTGTCATTAGTGGCTATATTCAGTAATTATTTCTATAACTAACCTATTGGTCGGATTTGCAATAACTGGTCTAATTAAATCCACTATCCTACATACAAAAGGTTTGAATAACCGAAATCTGGCAAAAAATTCATTATTATTCCACCTTGCAAAATGATTTGGTCTTTGCCATATTACCCTTGGCCTGGCACACAAAGTTGAAAATTATTTAGGAATTTAGGAAAAAATAAACAGTTCTATCTTTGATTAGGTTTAAACCAAAGTCAAGCTTGAACTTTGTTAGAAAAACGGCATATTTTGTCTGAACCAAGTTTAAACTATGATTGAAAAACCGGCCCTTAGAGCTACTGTGTTTTTCAGCCTATGGCAATATAGGAACCCATAATTGGCAAAATAAAATATGGGGTAAACTAAAGATTTTTATACATTTGCCTAGCAAAAGTGTTTTTGAACAAAAAATATAAATTAAATAAAAAACAGGATTTCATCATAAAACAATGCTGTTTTAATTATCTCCCACATTAAAATCTAAAACCCATATTTTTGATGCTGGTTACCCTTAAACCAAGAAGTACATTGGGGGACACAGAATTTCAAACGACTATCATTCCATTGACAACAAAATCCACTGCCTTTATGAAAAACTAACAGTACTTTAGGTTATCACTATTCTTATCATTTTGACGACAGCAAAAGCAAAAATGGTCATTATTGTATCTTTGCTATTTACAGTATCACACAAGGACAACCAAATTATGGTGTTTTAAATTACGTGTCCACCAATGTACTGGTATAGAAAAATGGACCTTTGTTTAAAACATTACTTAAAAAACCTATGTATGTTACTTGCCCTTTTTCTCTTAATTCCGTTGAATTTCGTGTTTTCAGAAAATCTCAAAGAAATTTTCATTTTAACTTTTACTGCCTCCATTAAATTTAAATTATGCTGCATACTACGCATTGTATTGGCATTTAATTTTATTAAATCGCATTAAATTTCCAAATCTCCAGTTAAGTATGATTCTTCATTGAATAACAAACTAGTGGTGCTTTCGTTATTTGTAGACGTCACTAAATTGTTCCTTTTTAATGACATCTAAGGTTATACAATATATGTAGGTTTTCATTAAACCATATTGCATTATTATCTGTTATCATTTAAAAAACCGATCCTACAAACCAAAATGCATTCTTGCAACGAACGTAATGTTTTTAAATTCTGTCAAAAAACTGACAGAAAATTACGCCGACAACAGTGTTGCCAATCTGAGTAATTCTTCACATTTGATAGGAATTTCACAATCCACATGGATTGTGGGAATTTCATAGCCTGTGAAGCCTGATTTATAGATTGCCTAAAGCCGGGTCTACAATTGTCGCAGGGGTCCGATCGCAGAACATAAGAGCCGTTTCACATGCGACTGATAAATGAACTTTTCACATGCACTGCGTATCATCGGTTGGGTACGCCTCGATGCATCGAAACTCAATAGATCGAATCTCGCTAGATCGAAAATTTACATGACCTTCGAAGCTCACCAGATCGAAAATGTGTGGCAACGTCTCTTTTGAAACGTCAAAGGCTTAAGGCTTTGTTCACATGTTTTATACAAAAAACGTATTTTCTTAAATGAGATCTACCTACTTTCGTTCAAACAAGATTTCGGTCAAAGAAAAGTAGTATACATCTGAACCAGAATCTGGCAGATAGGTATGCAATGATATTTATCAAATAAAAGTACAGATAAATATAAAATCCCCTTCTCAGATTTTTTTTTAATATCGGAAAATTCATATATAAAATAATAATTATTGGAATAAATTTTGGAAAGTGTTGTCAATGTATAAGGGGAATAACCATACATTCCTTGCAAATAAATCATGGAAAATGCATGGTTTTATAAATAAATATTAATATACTCATATGCATGGTTTTATAAATAAATATTAATATACCTACTTACTCATATTGTGAGTTACGTGTAAGGGGCAATTCATTAATTACGTAAGGGTCCCGATGTGGGAGGGGGGGTTCTCAAAATCTCCCCATACCCTTATCTCGGGGGAGGGGGGCTAAAAGCCATTCTTATCATTTTCTAAAACCAGATAAAATCTTACGTAAGAAGGGGGAGGGGGAGTCCGAAAAATCTTATGTGATCTTACATGGGGACAGGGGGGTCAAAAATGGCCAAAATCGTCCTTACGTAATTAATGAATGGCCGCTAAGTGTAACTTGGTGTTATATCCAGGACTCATGGAGGGTTATTTTTTTTTCTATGGAGTAGGTAGGTATGCTTTAACTAATTAGTTTTTTACTTTTTTCTGTGATGTATTTAAAGATATCTACATATGTAGGTATTATCTTTGCTTCAATGTAGGGATATATATATATATATATATATATATAAACTCAAACGGTATACCCTATAGGTATAGGGTATACCCTTTGAGTTTTTCTGTACAGATTAACCTGAAGGGTAAATACACGAAAGCAAAGATAATACCTACATCCATATCACGTAAAATATTAAAGATTAAATGATTTGAAGCCATATTATTTCAGATTTACAGAAAATACAGGATTGTTGTGGGAATATTCATATTTCTATTGTAAATTATAATACAAAATTATATAAAAAATATTTATTTTCTCTTATAAAACAAAAATATTATGTTACCTAGGTATTATAAAAAACTGTAAATAATCAAATAAAAAAAAATCTGGTATTGCCACGTTCTTCGTGGAAAACTTCAGGCTGATCCTTCAGAGGATTCCTCGGTTTCTGGTGGTGCTTCGGTAAATTCTGCGGAGGCATCGGCTAACGCTGCATTTGCTGATGCTGCCGCATGTAGTTGGCGCTGGGCTTTTGACAGATAGATTTAATTCTAAATTTGCCTTGTTGTCGCAGGAACGCCTAAATGCAGGAATGTGCTCCATCTTAATATAATTTTTGCGTAAAATAAAACAAACCAAATCAAACCAAACCCAACCAACCCAACCCCCCGTAACCGCCCTATTGAAGCCTAACCACCCTATTGAAGACGATTATTCCTTCGTGCATTGCCCTTTATCTCGAACTTTGTTACCGATGGAATAATCGTCTTCAATAGGGTGGTTAGGCTTCAATAGGGCGGTTATGGGGGGTTGGGTTGGTAGGGTTTGGTTTGATTTGGTTTTATTTTACGCAAAATTTATATTAAGATGGAGCCCATTCCTGCATTTAGGCGTTCCTGTTGTCGCTGCCAAATGATTCGTTATACAGATTCTGTAATCATGTTAGCATTAACAATGAGTTAAAACTTAAATTCCAGTTATGTTTTGATCAACTCTTTTCCTCACCACCCTTGAGGTAGAGTCCAAGGCGCGTTTTTTTTAACGTGGTTTCCCCAGTAGGCCTATTCCACGGTCATAAAAAATAAACTTACGGATGCGTCAATGCTAATTTCGGAATCTTCTTCGCCAGTTTAGATAGGAGCAACATAATCCAATAGGATGAACAAGAGCTTAAGCTGCAGAATATATCGTCATATTTATGAATGATGAATGAATGATGCATAAATGATGAATGAATGATGCATGAATGAAAAATAATGAATGAATAAATGCCGAATGAATGATGAATGGATGATAAATGGATGACGAATGAATAATGCATAAATGATTAATGCATGATACATGAACGATGATGAATGAATGATGAATGAATGAATTATGAATGAATGATGAATGAACGAAGAATAAATGTTAAATGAATGAATGAATGATGAACGAATGATGAATGAATAATTGATGAATGAATGAATGATGAATATTCATCATTCATATGAAGCAATGAGGTCTATGAAAACGAAACTTCCACACAACCTGATCCCGAAGCATTGCCAATATCAACCCCGCAAGGCTTGAGAAGTCACCTAGGAAAAAAAAAGTATCCAATTTAAAGACCTATGAAAAAAATTTAAAGACCTATGAAATTTAAAGACCTATGAAAAAAACAACATACATATAGGTATACCTACCTATTAATTAAAAATAAGCAAAAATTAATGCATTATTACAATCCATGAAAAAAATACATCTAATACAACACCTCAATGGGGGATGTCATTATGGGTGTTCGACAGTAAGGGCACCTAGTACTAGGCGAATCGTCCTCCTCATTCCTACGTTTCCGAAAACGTGAAGCACAACTCCGGCAAATGCAGTAATGTCTACATTCCCTTAGGAGAAACCTTCTACGCTTTCGAAAGCATACCACACACTGCCATTTGCGGATCTCTTCAGCTTCAGCTTCAGCAGCATCCTCAGAGGAACTGTCTGCTAGATCAAAAACTGGAAACATTCTTTAAGTGCAGCACAGAGTGGAATGCAGACAGCAGAGACAAGGGGCAGACAGTCGATGATCGCATAGAAAAAGGATATATATATATAATGGGCCGTCCATTAATTAAGTGAGGCGTTTAGGGGGGAAGAGCCAATTCTCATCCAATCACACGTGGGGTAGAGGGAGGGCTCGGCAAATATCACGTAATTTTTTTCCCTCGAGAAACACCAGAGAGGATAAACAGTGTAAAAAACATCAATCAAGCCCAGATTAACGTATTTATTCTAAAAATACGCAATTTGAAAAATCTCACTTGAGATTAGGGAGAGGGTCGAGCTAAATCTTACCAAGGCCCTCATCCCCCCTTGGTCCAAGGGGGGATGAATGATGCACCGAGAAAATTAATAACTATACTTTGTGACCATCAATAGGCAAACTTAATACAATTATTATAAGACCATCAAAAGTTTTTATATCGGCCATTAATATATATCTTATAAGGGTTAATATATTATTTTAGGATCATCTTAATATCACTTAAATATCTTCTTATGACATCTTAATATGATCCTAAATTGGTACATATATGGCAAATAAATAATCTTATAATGGTAAATATATTATTTTATGATCATCTTAATTCCATCCTAATATCCTCTTATGCTATCTTAATATGATCCTAAATATATTTATTTGCCATAATAATATGCTATAGCTATCATATTAAGATGGCCTATTTACGGCAATAGTTTAATTTTATTATAAATGGAGCTGCACCATGGTATAAATAAACGAAAATAAATCTTAAAAGCATTATTTCTACTAAAAGTAAAGTCTTGAAAATAAAATAAAGCCCCAACGCAAAAAAAATGCATTAACACCATTATTTTCATCAACCTAAACTAAACCTAAATGTTTATAAAAAAATCAGAAAAACATATCGCAATTAGCATAAATTAATGCTTTCCTTAGAAAATAAAATAGAGATAAATACCGAAATTATTTTTACTAGACGACCTTATTAGTGCATTTTCTGCGTTGGGACTTTATTTTCATTTTCAAGACTTTATAAAGGGTATACCCAGGTAGCACACTGACGTTTATATGACGTTGAAATGACTTTGCTAACGTCATTTTAACGTCAGTAGAAGTCATATAAACGTCAGCATACGTCAGTGTGCTACCTGGGTATACTTTTAGTAGAAATATTAATTAATAATACTTTTAAGGATTATTTCCATTTAGTTAACTCCATAATTTTCTGAACATTTTTAGCCAGTCTACCCTAAAAGAAAGATAACAATTGAGCTTTAAAAAAATTAAACTATTTCAGCAGATAGGCCATCTTAAAATTATAACTTTATACATGTATAATTAAATAATAAATTAAGGAATCAAAGCCAATATTCTGACCTATTAAAAATCTTGGTAATTTTTCTCAAGCTGTTTTATTTATAAATATGGTACCTAATAATAATAAATTGTTAACATTTTACCAAAAATATATTTCAGATTTTACCAATATCCTATAAAATAAACTTCAAAGCATACATTTATAAAAGTATCAGCATAATAAATACATTAAATGCTTTATGCAGGGACCCCGGAAACTATATAGAAAGAAATTGAACCTACCTTCAAATCCTTTAACAAAATCACTGAGCCCCCATTCAAGCAGAGTAACTTTGAAAGCCATTACCATGTTCTGTAAAATTACCGCAAAACAATTGTGAAGAAACGCCCTTTTTCTTCTATAAACGATTCAATATTATCCTCAATTTCCCGTAAACAAGTGAGAAATAATAAATGACGCTACCACAGAGGACGCTGTTCTGTGCTGTGGACGCTAGTTAAACGATTGGTCGATTCGAGTATAGTCGGAAAGCCGAATCTGTTAGTTAGGTAGATGAGTTTGTTAAGG